ATCTCGAAACTCTACTTCAACCATTAAATTAGTCAATTTGGCAATGTATAATACATATTTTACCTTCAATGGTAATTTGTATGAGCAGACACAGGGTTTGGCTATGGGATCTTGTTTAGCCCCTATTTTAGCTAATAACTACATGACCCAATTATAAGTTCGCGTATTTCAAGAGACACTAATAGTTTCCAAAGTTATTAGTTCGTAATGTGGACGAGTACTTTGTTGCTTGGCAACGGGGCAAAAATAGTTTGGGGGAATTCCTTGAGCTAATAAATAGAATAAATGCAAGCACTAAGTTCACACTGGAGTTATAAAAGGAAAATAAATAGCCTTTCTTGTATGTATTAGTGAGCAAAGTTAGGCAGTTACGTATATAGGAAACCCACTCAGGCGGGTTTACTAATTCATTTTTTCTCGAAGCACACACTTAAAGTAAACATAGGAGTTATGAAGTGTAAGTTGATAAGGAGACTGTGTCTAGCAGATGCAAACCATAGGGACCAGGAGCTTGGTAGATTGAGGGATATACTGTTTCGAAACAATTACCGATCAGAATTAGTAAAAAATTACATTTGAATTGTAGTTAACAAGATTAGGGAGTTTGCTATCAGGCGCGGGATAGAAAACTGGATAATCTTACTCAGTTCCTGATTCTACCTTCCTGTCAGCTTGTGAAAAAGTTGCGTTAACTACTGAGGGAATGGAACATAAAAAGAATGTACAAAGAGAAATGGACACTTTCTTCAGTAGTTCCTTCGTTTAGAGAATATTCACACCCTCTTTCTGGATCAAGGTGTTACAAGGTTTTGTGCTCATGTGGTAAGATCCATTGTGGGAACGATCTGCCGACCCATTCACAAGAGACTATGCGAGCACAAAACCGCTTGCAAAGGTATGTGGGTCGAACAATTTGAGCTCGCTGAACACACTTTGCCAATGCAGGACACTCAATAGAATAGAATGGTCCAAAAGACAACGTTTTGCGGGTTACGGGGACTTTACGTCAAAGCGTAAGATTAGGGAGCCTGTAGAGATTAACAAATCAGCCAACGTGCCGAAAAGAAGGAACGAGTGAAGAAGAGTGAGTATGAACTAATTGTGTCTGTTGGATAGACTCAAGGAGAGGGAGGGTGAGGAAGTGCAGGAAGAGCTGGATTAATTTTGATTCCAGCTCGGACTATCACACTCACCATGACATAAACATTGCATACACACAATGGGCAATAGCAAAAGCTCAAACATGATTCAGCATTCGACGATCGTAGGCCAGTTTGTGTGTCATAAAACAGCTAACACTGAACGCATTTCCGGTTCGGGAAGTTAACTTCACTCATTTGCAAGCAAGTTGACCTCGTTGTCGCAACTTGGTCTTGTTGCCACCTAGTCCGAAGTCGTCTGCCATAGTAGTTGTCATGATTTCCAGCATCAGACAATGGACTTGGAACATTCTCAAACGTTTCGCCGGCATCATAGTCGGCATTATCAGTAAGTTTTGCCATTCTCCGCACCAAGACACGAACTCGCAAAAGAGACAAGTGAAGTCAATCCCTCGACAAACGTTCTGCCGAAAACGAATACACCATCAATCCCCTTTCTATCATTGCCTATCTATCTACTCTTTACCCTCTTATCAAACTCCCACCCTATCACAACTTCTCACTTGTTTACATTTCACTCGTCAAAATGTGTGCACTTTTGTGGCAAATTTGGTGTGGCCTCATCACACCATCTCTTCACCTCGACACCCTTTCTTTCGATCGGCTTATCCGACTCGGGCCTCCAATCCGGATCCTTTCATTGTCTCTTAGATCCGTTTCTTATCTTTCTGGTTGACCGATTTCACTCGGGTCCAGTCCCAGTATGCATTCCACTTCAGGCGCTATTTCTCAATGCCCTAGAAACACGTACACTGCCGCTT